CTTGCAGCAGTGCCAGGTGTGTGTGTGTGTGTGTGTGTGTGTACCTGTGGGTCTTGCAGCAGTGCCAGGTGTGTGTGTGTGTGTGTGTGTGTGTGTACCTGTGGGGGGTCTTGCAGCAGTGCCAGGTGTGTGTGTGTGTGTGGGGGGGGTCTTGCAGCAGTGCCAGGTGTGGTGTGTACCTGTGGGGGGGTCTTGCAGCAGTGCCAGGTGTTGTGTGTGTGGGGGGGTCTTGCAGCAGTGGCAGGTGTGTGTGTGTGTGTGTGGGGGGGGGGGTCTTGCAGCAGTGCCAGGTGTGTGTGTGTGTGGGGGGGGGTGGTCTTGCAGCAGTGCCAGGTGTGTGTGTGTGGTACCTGTGGGGGTCTTGCAGCAGTGCCAGGTGTGTGTGTGTGTGTGTTTACCTGTGGGGGGGTCTTGCAGCAGTGCCAGGTGTGTGTGTACCTGTGGGGGGGTCTTGCAGCAGTGCCAGGTGTTGTGTGTGTGTGTGTGTGTGTGTGTGTGTACCTGTGGGGGGTCTTGCAGCAGTGCCAGGTGTGTGTGTGTACCTGTGGGGGGGTCTTGCAGCAGTGCCAGGTGTGTGTGTGTGTGTGTGTGTGTACCTGTGGGGGGTCTTGCAGCAGTGCCAGGTGTGTGTGTGTGTGTGTGTATACCTGTGGGGGGTCTTGCAGCAGTGCCAGGTGTGTGTGTGTGTGTACCTGTGGGGGGGTCTTGCAGCAGTGCCAGGTGTGTGTGTGTGTACCTGTGGGGGGTCTTGCAGCAGTGCCAGGTGTGTGTGTGTGTGTGTGTGTGTGTACCTGTGGGGGGGTCTTGCAGCAGTGCCAGGTGTGTGTGTGTGTGTGTGTACCTGTGGGGGGTCTTGCAGCAGTGCCAGGTGTGTGTGTGTGTACCTGTGGGGGGGTCTTGCAGCAGTGCCAGGTTGTGTGTGTGTGTGTGTGTGTGTGTGTACCTGTGGGGGGTCTTGCAGCAGTGCCAGGTGTGTGTGTGTGTGTGTGTACCTGTGGGGGGGTCTTGCAGCAGTGCCAGGTGTGTGTGTGTGTGTACCTGTGGGTCTTGCAGCAGTGCCAGGTGTGTGTGTGTGTGTGTGTACCTGTGGGGGGTCTTGCAGCAGTGCCAGGTGTGTGTGTGTGTGTGTGTGTACCTGTGGGGGGTCTTGCAGCAGTGCCAGGTGTGTGTGTGTGTGTGTACCTGTGGGGGGGTCTTGCAGCAGTGCCAGGTGTGTGTGTGTGTACCTGTGGGGGGGTCTTGCAGCAGTGCCAGGTGTGTGTGTGTGTACCTGTGGGGGGGTCTTGCAGCAGTGCCAGGTGTGTGTGGGTGTACCTGTGGGGGGGGTCTTGCAGCAGTGCCAGGTGTGTGTGTGTGTACCTGTGGGGGGGTCTTGCAGCAGTGCCAGGTGTGTGTGTGTACCTGTGGGGGGGGGGGTCTTGCAGCAGTGCCAGGTGTGTGTGTGTGTGTACCTGTGGGGGGGTCTTGCAGCAGTGCCAGGTGTGTGTGTGTGTGTGTGTACCTGTGGGGGGGTCTTGCAGCAGTGCAGGTGTGTGTGTGTACCTGTGGGGGGGGGGTCTTGCAGCAGTGCCAGGTGTGTGTGTGTGTACTGTGGGGGGGTCTTGCATCAGTGCCAGGTGTGTGTGTGTGTGTACCTGTGGGGGGGTCTTGCAGCAGTGCCAGGTGTGTGTGTGTGTACCTGTGGGGGGGTCTTGCAGCAGTGCCAGGTGTGTGTGTGTGTACCTGTGGGGGGGTCTTGCAGCAGTGCCAGGTGTGTGTGTGTGTGTGTACCTGTGGGGGGGGTCTTGCAGCAGTGCCAGGTGTGTGTGTGTGTACCTGTGGGGGGTCTTGCAGCAGTGCCAGGTGTGTGTGTGTACCTGTGGGGGGGTCTTGCAGCAGTGCCAGGTGTGTGTGTGTGTACCTGTGGGGGGGTCTTGCAGCAGTGCCAGGTGTGTCTGTCTCATGCGGCGGCTGTACTCAGCAGACAGCTGGTAGATCTTTGAGCAGATTCCTTCTACCGAGTCTTTGGCGACGGCGGTGACGTGCGGACCACACTGCTGTCTCAGGTGCTCCAGACGGTCCTGCAGGGTCAAGGTTCAAATTAAGACGAGGTGGAAGAGGCTACAAATCAGCTGATTAATATCGTCATGGAAACTGAGAGGGATTAGAAGCCGAGCATTAACTCCAGCTAATCACACTGGGTCTAGTAATGGCTAGTCATTAGCTTCCTAGGCTGGTAAATAGTTAGTTAAGCTAACAAGCTAATCCATCATGTACCATACATTTCACCACAGTCACCAAACATTCAATTTCAATTTGATGTCGTCTCAGTTTATGATTTAATGGCACCAGCAAGTTAGCCCAAAAATGCTTCCATGTTTTCAGATGCTATGGCAGCCTGTAGGTGTCCCAAAGCCTGCTGGGATATGTAGTCCTTGCCCGCCTACTGCTTATAAAACCCAACATGTTCTAGATCATTTAGTTTGTTGAAACAAACCTTAAAAGAGACCAAACATCTCAAAATAAAAAAATCAAAGATCAGGGGTTACCATGTAGTCCTCTTTGCTGGCGGAGTGATCTCGACGCAGCCAGTTCATGGTGTCTTCAGCGTTCCACTTCACCACCTTCCTGCTCTCTGGACTCGCATTTCTGCATAAAAATCAAACATCATGGTTTCGTCAACACGAGCCAAACCTCCAGCTGAAGATCCATGCCTGATAAAACTCTGACCGGTCTGTTTTCACCAACCTGGAGTCGATCATCTTCTTGGCCGCCTCAGCATATTTGAACAGAAGTTTCCGAGCCTCCTCTTTGTACTTAATGCGTGACAACCTGAGTAACACAGAAACAATAACACATGTTAAGATGATATATCAGAAATCAGACACTTTGTGTTTGATTTAGTTTTCACACTTGGGCAGGTACCTGATGGGAATGTCATTCATGACCTCTCTGAACATGGACGGCGAGATGACGGGGTCACAGTCACTCGGCAACAAGGGGTCCTGACCTTTGTCGACCACTTTTCTCTCCAGAAGCCAACGGTTGAAAGACTCTCGCGGAGGATCGATACCTGAAAAGGACAAACAAACATTAACCTCTTTAACATGCTGCACATCGACTTTTACAGATTAAATCACATACTCGAGTTTAGTTCAATGTTCAAGTGACCATCAAGTCAAGACCACAGACTATAACAAAGACGGATGAAACAAAAGCCCTCGCAAAATGAAAACAAAACATTTAAAGCTCCCCCTGCTGACTGGCTGCAGTGCAAGGCATAAGCTCCGCCTCCTCCATGTAAACAGATGGGACAGGGGTCAAACTATAAAATCAAAATACACGTCAAATATATTTTTCTCAAACATGGTTTCTGTCATTAAAGTTAGTTCTTATCATGGTGATTGTTGGTTTTAATTGGATGGTAATAAAAGGAGAATAACACCATGATTGACAGCTCTGTTGACCGATGAGGCTCTCGCAGCGCTGTGTGCAAATTCAATAGAAGTGAGCAGAACAAACAGAACGCTGGAGTCGTCCATTGTTGTTGTAGTCCAACAACTCGAGCATGGCTATTGGCTGGGAGCGTAATGAGCATGTGCGAAGTCTAGGTTTTAAGAGGCGCTGTATATTGTCAGTTTACCTGACGACAGAGACGGTGATGTTTTCAGAAGTTTGCACTCTGGAGCCTCTTATCGTGTAAACAAACATTCAAAAAGGAACAAATGTTGCTGTATTCAGCTGAGGTTGTTGTCGTATAAACCAGCCCTGAGTCTCTACATCAAGTTCATGAATCTGCTCTGAGTGTTTGTGGTCTCACTGATTACAGTAAATAAACTGAACGGTGTGATTGTATTCAGTGATTGTGGTGAAACTGGATCACGTTTCATGGAGGGGAGTTTATCTGGTTTTGCCCTCTGATGTGTTTCTGTGGTCTCTGATTGGTCAGCAGTGCTACACTCTCATGCAGGTACCTTCTCTCTGGTGGCACAGCTCGTGGTAGTGTTGCCTAAGTTTGGTGACCAGCTGAGCTCTCTGCAGTTCGATCTCAGGGTGGGGGGGCAGGTGGTTGGCTGGGGGGTGCTCTCTGATCACAGCGTTGGTCTGGATGTCCAGATCCCAGTAGATACTGGAAACAACAACAACAACAAACAACAGTTAGTAAAAAACCACCAGTGCAGCTCCGGATGCTGACTATGACGAGGCCTCGGTACTCACACGGCTGGTCTGTAGGGGGCGGGGGCCGGACTGGGAGTTGTGGGTGCTGCTTGTGGAGCCTGTTTGTCTTCAGGTGCATTGTTCCAGGGTTTGGCCCCAGGCGTGCTGGGAGAGATGGGCGTGGTGGGCTCAACCTGTAAACACAGCACGGACAGACAGCCACCAGCAGGTTAGATAAACAGTCAGCTCTGGTTCAGTAAACGGATCATACAGCAGTTTAGTTGCAGGTGGGCAGTTTCTACCTTGGCTCGTTTCATGCTGTTAGGCCCCGCCGCCTGCTCCTCAGAGATCCTCCTCTTCCTCTGACCGTTACCGAGGTTAGCGTCTCCGCCCTCTGCTGGAGCAGCGTTCAGACCTAAAGGATCAGACTGAGAGCACACAGACAGGTTAACACTGGGTGAAGGGTCACAGAGGGACAACATGAAAGGTGAACATGAGGAGAAGACGGCAGCTTTAAAGGAGGACAGTTATTGGACTCACGATGACATCATGCTGACCCAGCACTGGCACCTCCCACAGACTCTGATTGGTGAATCTGTTGAAGTAATACGGTCGATTCTCCCTCCGAGACCAGCACTTAGACCATCCAGCCTGGACCAGTTCATCTGTCAGACAGACAGGTCAGAGAGCAGACAGACAGGTCAGAGAGCAGACAGACAGGTGAAAGAGACAGACAGACAGGTCAGAGAGCAGACAGACAGGTCAGAGAGCAGACAGACAGGTGAAAGAGACAGACAGACAGGTCAGAGAGCAGACAGACAGGTCAGAGAGCAGACAGGTGAAAGAGACAGACAGACAGGTCAGAGAGCAGACAGACAGGTGAAAGAGACAGACATACAGGTCAGAGAGCAGACAGACAGGTGAAAGAGACAGACATACAGGTCAGAGAGCAGACAGACAGGTCAGAGAGCAGACAGACAGGTGAAAGAGACAGACGGGTCAGAGAGCAGACAGACAGGTCAGAGAGCAGACAGACAGGTCAGAGAGCAGACAGACAGGTAAAAGAGACGGACAGGTGTACCTGGGAGTTCAGGTGGTTTGGTGGTGGACGGAGAAAGGGGCGGTCCCTGAGAGGCGGCGGCGGGCACAGAGGGAGAAGGCACCGTGGCCTCCCCCTTCACCGATCCCTGGCTGTCGTTGGACATCTCACCTGTTCGTTAGAATGACATCAACGTGCCTGCACAGAAACAAAAACTGATTTTAATTTAAACAAATAAATCATCTGAAACTGAACAACAGATCAATATTTAAATAACTGACTCAGCAAAATCTAACAACTCTCTAACGCCTGGCTCAGACTGCAGGATAGTCGGCCCGATTTCACGCCCTCCTCCCGAACACTCACGGCGGTGTTCCTGACTCGAGGCTGCTCGGAACTGATTATCTTACATTATTTTTCCAATCTTAACGTCCCCGATCTGCTCGTAAATCGCCACAATTGTGTCACACGTTTGAAATTTAGGATTTAAAATCTTGACTATCAGGTCATGAAAGGGTCTGTCGTGTGTGACTACAATAACCATGAGAGACAATAGTAAGTGAACAGTAGTCATGGCGACCGGCAGCAAGATGCAACCTGGTGACCTGGACACCTGAAACACACCTGACAGTTACAATCTGACCTCCAGCTCTCTCTGAAGAACAGACGATCCATGCTGTCCACGTCCCGTCGTACATTTCTTCACCTAAACTGATTCATGTTTTACTAAATCACTTATTTAACCGCCAGCCTCTCTGTTTACGTGAGGTCGTTTGAGGTGTTGCGTTCCTCCGCTGGGCACGATAATCTCGATTAAATGCTGTGATGAATCACGATTATCACATCTTGTAGTGTGAGCACACTGAGATGATTTATAAATCAGGGTGGATTTTAAACCTGCTGTAGTCTATATCTGTACACAAAAACATTAAATTTGACTACAATTAATCTGCCAATAAATAATTAAATTAAAACTGATACACAGATTAAAATAAACAGGTTTCCTGTTACAGCAACTTTATGAAAAATAATAATAAAAAGCTGTGAATTACTTTAAAGTTGTCCCTTAAAGGAGAAGATCAAATGGTTATTTATGTTCTTGGTAGGTACGCCACCGTGTGTTCTCATCGGGCTTTGACAGCTTCTGAATTATTCTAATGTATGAGTCAAAGAGAAACCAAAACGAAGAAGCGAACAGGTTTCTGAAAGTTGTATTTTTTAACACATTGGTGACGTGGGATGAGAAAACAAAATGTTATAACGTGATTTAAACTGATTTAAAGTCCGATCGGTTTGATGAATAAAGGAGCTTCTGTTAAAACCACAAACAGGTCCAGAGTCTGTTGGATTAGTTTCTGTTTTGATTTCAGTGACGTCACCTCACAGACATGTTTTTACTGTTTTTATGACGTAGAATAATGTGGACGCAGAGTTTGAAGCGGCTCCGCAACACTTTTATTTAAACTGTTTTAATTTAATGGATTCTGTCGACACTCAGTCTCATGTGTCCGTTTAGTCACTGGAAACATTAAACTGTTTTTACTGATCTGACAACACGACGGGCCGACCTGCTCGTTACTGTACTGATGTGGCGGGTTAACGGAACTAATTCAGAGTTATGATTTAATCAAACTAACCGATAAACAACAGGAAACACGGTATTTGTGGTTACACCGGGAGAAGACAGCGACGTGTCGGTAAATTTGATTAGAATTAGACGTTTTATTTCACATACGCAAAAAATGAGCGCTATGGCTACACGCATGCGCCTGACGGGGTTTCCAAACAAACACGGAGGAGGAGAGGAGTCGGGGGGTGCGAGGGGGGGGGGGACAACAAAAAGCTGCGGCTGCTCCACCGGAGCTCAAGCAGAAGACGCGGACACGGCAGCGATCAGTACCGACCAGCAACGGGGCCAAGCCGGGATTAAATGATTTGAAAACACAGAAATTGAATCGAGCCGTCTTTTCACGTTAGTTTGTTTCGCCTTCACGCGCGTTTCTCTCTGTAAGCACGCAGAGCGACAGCTGCTGTTTAGGCGCCACTTCTCATACAAGATGGCGGACACGCCCCTGCCACAGCGCTGCGAGTACGGCACAGTATTTCTGTGTTTTATTACAAACTCAGCCGCCAAGCGCGCCGTAAGTCCGGTTCTTATGAACGCCGAAACCTTCAGCCGCATGTCGCTGCCCTCCGAGCGGCTGCGCGGGGCCGCCTGCCCTTACCTTGACCGGTTAAGTTGCAGAGAGTCGTGGGTTCTGTCCGTTTGTTTCGGGTCCTCCGCTCCGCTCCCTCCCCGCCTGCTCAGACATCTTTACAGGGACTTGGAGTGAGCAACTGCGCATGTGCGGCTGTTACCCCTTTTCCTTTTCCGGAATGTCCTTTTAGAGCCGCCATGTTGAAGAGGTCACACAGGCACAAAACAATGTTGCAAAAGTCGATTCCTTACACCATAATCCATATATTTAATTTATTTTTTATATAATTATATATGATATTTATAGTAAAACCACTTAAAGTGCTCAGAAAGTAAATAAACTCAAACATACTTCATGACAGCTCATAGACTTTATTATTTACAGTCTGTTACAGCTACACATCTTAATCTATTAGGAAGTTCATGTGATACTACTGAAATCTTCAGATTATGATTTGATGGGAATGCCAGGTTAATTTCACTGTCAATGATGTGATTTATTTATTAATTATTTTAGAACTGGTCATCAAACTCCAATGATGACCCTGATGATGAGTTTTATTTTGGTTTAATGATGGTTTTAAGTGAAATTAAAATGAAATTAATGCATAAAATAAAAAAGTTTGCTCATGACAGTAACAGTAAGGGTGTCTGCTGCTCTGTACACATAAAGATAAACACACCTGTGTGTCTGTGCATGAAGCTGTTGTGTCCACTCAGCTAAAGTCTAGACTTGAAATTTACTCGTAATCTGCTTTTAGCATTTCTGACAATGAATTACGACTTATAAGAGGACGTTAAAAGACACATCTGGCTTCAGATGTTCTCCCTGATGTGTCTGTGGACAATCTGGACAAAACCTATTTGTGTCTTTAATGTTTATTAATGTATTTATTGTGTTTGGTTGTTTGTGTGTATTGCGCTGCTTTATAATCTCAACATGATTCTTTCCTGGATGAGTAAAGGTTAAAAAATTAAAAAACTATATATAATAATTGTATGATTTTTAGGCTGTTTTATTCTTTTGTGTTGTTCCTTTATGTAACGACTGTTTGGATAAGGTGTAAGGTGTGTGGGGGTCCCCAGTGCCTGTTTGGGAACCCCTGACACACAGAAGTAAATGGAAATGGTAAATGAGCTTGTTTAGTTCTTTTCTCGTTTTCCGACTACTCAAAGCTCTTTTACACCACAGGTCACACCAACACTTTCACACACTGATGGTAGAGGCTGCTGTTAGAGAGTCCATCAGTATTAACTCATCCATTCATACACATTCACACAGTGATGGTAGAGGCCGCTGTGTAAAGAGTCCATCAGTATTAACTCATCCATTCATACACATTCACACACTGATGGTAGAGGCCGCTGAGTAAAGAGTCCATCAGTATTAACTCATCCATTCATACACATTCACACACTGATGGTAGAGGCTGCTGAGTAAAGAGTCCGTCAGTATTAACTCATCCATTCACACACTGATGGTAGAGGCTGCTCAAGAGTCCATCAGTATTAACTCATCCATTCATACACATTCACACACTGATGGTAGAGGCTGCTAAAGAGTCCATCAGTATTAACTCATCCATTCATACACATTCACACACTGATGGTAGAGGCCGCTGAGTAAAGAGTCCATCAGTATTAACTCATCCATTCATACACATTCACACACTGATGGTAGAGGCTGCTAAAGAGTCCATCAGTATTAACTCATCCATTCATACACATTCACACACTGATGGTAGAGGCCGCTGAGTAAAGAGTCCATCAGTATTAACTCATCCATTCATACACATTCACACACTGATGGTAGAGGCCGCTGAGTAAAGAGTCCATCAGTATTAACTCATCCATTCATACACATTCACACACTGATGGTAGAGGCCGCTGAGTAAAGAGTCCATCAGTATTAACTCATCCATTCATACACATTCACACACTGATGGTAGAGGCCGCTGAGTAAAGAGTCCATCAGTATTAACTCATCCATTCATACACATTCACACACTGATGGTAGAGGCTGCTGAGTAAAGAGTCCATCAGTATTAACTCATCCATTCACACACTGATGGTAGAGGCTGCTTAAGAGTCCATCAGTATTAACTCATCCATTCATACACATTCACACACTGATGGTAGAGGCTGCTCAAGAGTCCATCAGTATTAACTCATCCATTCATACACATTCACACACTGATGGTAGAGGCTGCTAAAGAGTCCATCAGTATTAACTCATCCATTCATGCACATTCACACACTGATGGTAGAGGCCGCTGAGTAAAGAGTCCATCAGTATTAACTCATCCATTCATACACATTCACACACTGATGGTAGAGGCTGCTAAAGAGTCCATCAGTATTAACTCATCCATTCATACACATTCACACACTGATGGTAGAGGCCGCTGAGTAAAGAGTCCATCAGTATTAACTCATCCATTCATACACATTCACACACTGATGGTAGAGGCCGCTGAGTAAAGAGTCCATCAGTATTAACTCATCCATTCATACACATTCACACACTGATGGTAGAGGCCGCTGAGTAAAGAGTCCATCAGTATTAACTCATCCATTCATACACATTCACACACTGATGGTAGAGGCCGCTGAGTAAAGAGTCCATCAGTATTAACTCATCCATTCATACACATTCACACACTGATGGTAGAGGCTGCTGAGTAAAGAGTCCGTCAGTATTAACTCATCCATTCACACACTGATGGTAGAGGCTGCTTAAGAGTCCATCAGTATTAACTCATCCATTCATACACATTCACACACTGATGGTAGAGGCTGCTCAAGAGTCCATCAGTATTAACTCATCCATTCATACACATTCACACACTGATGGTAGAGGCTGCTAAAGAGTCCATCAGTATTAACTCATCCATTCATACACATTCACACACTGATGGTAGAGGCCGCTGAGTAAAGAGTCCATCAGTATTAACTCATCCATTCATACACATTCACACACTGATGGTAGAGGCTGCTAAAGAGTCCATCAGTATTAACTCATCCATTCATACACATTCACACACTGATGGTAGAGGCCGCTGAGTAAAGAGTCCATCAGTATTAACTCATCCATTCATACACATTCACACACTGATGGTAGAGGCCGCTGAGTAAAGAGTCCATCAGTATTAACTCATCCATTCATACACATTCACACACTGATGGTAGAGGCCGCTGAGTAAAGAGTCCATCAGTATTAACTCATCCATTCACACACTGATGGTAGAGGCCGCTGAGTAAAGAGTCCATCAGTATTAACTCATCCATTCATACACATTCACACACTGATGGTAGAGGCTGCTGAGTAAAGAGTCCATCAGTATTAACTCATCCATTCATACACATTCACACACTGATGGTAGAGGCTGCTGAGTAAAGAGTCCATCAGTATTAACTCATCCATTCACACACTGATGGTAGAGGCCGCTGAGTAAAGAGTCCATCAGTATTAACTCATCCATTCATACACATTCACACACTGATGGTAGAGGCCGCTGAGTAAAGAGTCCATCAGTATTAACTCATCCATTCACACACTGATGGTAGAGGCTGCTGAGTAAAGAGTCCGTCAGTATTAACTCATCCATTCATATACATTCACACGCCGCTGAAGAAGCAGTGGGAGCAATTGGGGTTAAGGACACATCAACATGTAGCTGCATGAGCCGGGGATCAAACCCTCGACGTTTCAGTAGAGGGACGACCGACTCTACCCACTGAGCCACAGCCGCCCCACGATGTTGAAAACACCAACAAGCGTCTGTAGGATTATTAGTTTATTACATCTGATTCATTAGTAGTTAATAGGTTTCAAAATAAATACTTTTTCATAATAATTTAATTTGTTTTCACACTAAAACTGTGAGAGAAGAATTCTGCACAAGCAGCAGATATACTGCAGTCACTATTTTGAGATGAACACATATTTACAGCACCTTTCAACAACAGTGTTTAAAAAAAAGACAAATAAAAAGTTAAAAATACATAAATACAACAACTTTAGGAGTAACATCAACAGTTTCCATCCTCCTAAAATCCAAAACAATACAGTCTCCATCGTTTCAGTGTTTGATGGCAGCAAAAATACAAAAGCTTCATTAAATAAAAATTACATCTCCATCATATCTTTAAATCAAAGAGAGATTGTCTAAATTGCAGAAATACATTTGTTGACGTGTTATCAAAACAGGAATCAAAATAGTTTGATTCAATAACGAGGATTACAATTCTCGCGTTATGAAAATCCTTTGTAGGAATATAAGATAACAACATACACAGGACAGAGGACAGGAGACAGGTGTTTGTACAGGGGTCAGAGGTCAGATGCTCTCCTGCTGCAGCATCAGGTCGACTGCAGCCTCCACGTCCTCCACCACGTGACTGGGCTCCACAGGTCTGGCTCCAGGACCAGGTCTCTGTGACCGTGGAACACCGTCTCGTGACAGCATTGCTCTGGTCATAGGCAACGGGGAGTGAGGTTATAGACACCCGTGCACACCTGAGGACAGGTAGAGCAGCTCTGAGTAATTTATTACAACATGGTATTATTCTTTGTGGTTAAAAACGTCAGCGACACAAGCTGCGCTCCTACCAAAATGGACTGACACTGAGCAGCAGCCGACACCAGATCCTCCTCCGGCACCGCCATCGTCACCTGACTTCCCGTTCCTCAGCAACAAGTTCAGCAGTGGTTGTCCTCGCAGCGTGCTGCTGAGCCAGGTACCGGTTGTACAGGTTAGCACCATAAATATCCGTCATCAAGTTGTCACTAGGCAACAAGAACAACACAGCTTGGTTACTCGACTGTAGATGGTGTTATAGTCAGTTTGGTGACCCAGATTACTGTTAAATTAAGTTTTGCCCATATGGTGTTATGGATGTTTCGATTACCTAGAAAAAGGTACACTAATGATGGAGATTGTGTTTTTTTGATGTTGTTATGGAAGATTTGGTTACCAGACTCTTTGGTAAGCAGCTAATGTACAGATGATGTTTGGACAGTTAAAAGATGGTGTTATGGATTGTTTCGTTACCCAAATTTGTAAGTTGTCTTTTATGCGGTTTAATTAGCTGTATAATGGCCTATATGACGTTATAGATTGTTTG